ATACTTAAATCAGATAAATCATACGATGGTCAAATTAGAGCAAACAATTCATTTCAAATCAGAGAAAATAATCATGTACACATGGTATTTCAAACATATATTTAAAACAATAATATGATGCACAAGGAACACACCTCGCAAAAAGAATCAGTCCGGTAAATCTAACAAGCACCGGCTTCGCTACGTTCTTTTATTGAACGAGAACCTAGTTTATATCAGAACAGGGTTATACTCAGAGTAAATATAATAAATTGAATATTTAACAGAGTTACAGAACTATAAGAGTATTCATGGGCTCTTACGAACGAGTAGATCTGGAGGAACTGGGTCAAGCATATGAACGGTTAGAAGATCATCGAGTACCTTAATTAACGATATTATCATAAATTAGTCCTTGACCATTCAATTAAATTAGATGCACTAAAATAAATACATAAATTTCATATGCATATTCAAGTTTGACGGTCAATTCGGAGGCTTTCGGGTTTGAATTTTGCAAAACAAACTTCAGATTCTGACTCAGGACGTCGAAAAACATAAAATATGACTTTTCAAAAAAAATTGGATTTTTAGTCAAAGTCAACGATCAGGTCAACGGCCAAGTCAAAGTCAACGGTTCTGGTCAAGATCAACGATTCAGATCAGTTCGGGTTGACTCAGTTTGGTCTAAGTTGACTCAGACCAGTTCGAGTCTCGAACCGATTCTAGGATATTCCAAGCCTGGAGAGGAGACCCATGAGCATGCAACAGTGCGTCGCAGCACGTGATGATGGTGACAGGGTCCAGGACGGCAGCCGACTACTCTACGATCAACCAAACATCAAATCCAAGCAACATCAACACTCAAAACTAACTAAATCCATCTGAAGCAAACAAATAAGGTTGAAACGCTTACCCACGCCGACGACGAGGAAAACGTCAATGACAAAGTGACCTAATGGTTGGGTTTTGAGTAGACAACAACGGGGAATTCGACTGTGGAGGCGGTGAGGCGTGCCGATGAGCGAGACTACTGGATTCGAAGCAAAACCGACGTGTGACCTAGGTTTCTCCGACAATCTTCGAACAGCTCTCCACGGCTCCTATCGACGAATAGACAGTAGGGTTTTGCTCGGCCTACAATAGCGTCTTCACAGGAATGGGCGATGACGTGCACCGTCGCCAGATGAGGGTGGATCGACAGAGAGAGGGCAATGCACGGTGATGGAGGGGTTTGGGCATTTGGATCACGAAGTGGGGGTTTAACAAAATGGGTTAACACCCAATACATATATTATAAATTAAAAAATTATTATTTCTTATCAAAAACAGGGGCTTAGCTCGGTTGGTAGGGGCATGGCCGACTATTCTTGGGTTAGGGCTTCAACACTTCTCAGCCACCTGTTTTCTCATTTTTTTTATTTTTCAACTAACCAAAAAAATGGAATAATTCATGGTTAGGTCCCTGAACTTCCCAATTTTTTGAAACTAGCCCAAAAAGTTTCAAAAACCTACACTTTAGTCCTTAAAATCAAATAATTTATTTAATGAATTTAAAATTGAGATTGGGGTGTGACAATCCCCTACAGTTTAATACTTCTAGCCTTAGGCTTTTTAATCTGGTAAGCAAATTGCATGCTCAAAATTTTAAATCAAGTGAACTATGATATCTCAAATTTGCATTCCAGGAAAAAGAAAAAGAGGAAGATGTAATTGTTAGTTCAGAGTGAGCATAAACAAAAAACCATGTAGCTATCAGCCCATCACCTAATTTCATCACGATTTCAGTCTGAACACGCTGCACACAAGTTCCAAGCATGTTTCTTCCTAAACACCCTAATAAGCCTTTTATCTAACATTGTTTACATGCCAGAATGTAGCAGATAAATGGTCTCAACTATATTTTCACAAAATCATACCATCACATGCCTTTTGCAAACAGAAAGAATGATTGAATTCATCCCTACAGCCCATCAGTGAAACAAGCGAAAAAAGGCTCTTTGAAACGAGGGGGGAAAATTAAGGCTGGTTTCAGGTGTCAACATCAGATACATCCATCCTGCAAATAAGCATCAATGTCAAGATAAAATTACAGTCAAATGTATATGAAACCACAGTTCGGTAGGAAACTCAAAAGATGCGCTGCTTTAGAATATCTTATGACAGCTAGAATTCATCTCTTTTGAATAATTTGATGCAAAACCAAATCAGAATGACATGACACTCATACAATCAAGCCTGCCATGTCGAACTTCAAATTCTTAATTAGGCAGAATGCTCAAGAACCAAAAATCAATTCAGTTGGACCATTTTAGATGGTACAATATGGTTGGGTGGAGATCATAGTAATTTTAAGTCAAATATTCCCCCAATTCAATTGCCTAATGGAGAGCAAAGGTAGCTAGTTTCTGCCATTCCAAAGAAAATAGAAAGAAAGAAAAAAACAAACAGAAGCATCTTGTTTCCAAGCTCATTCCTAGGATAGATAAATGACAGTACCTTTAATCAAATGTATATGGGTCATCTGCATAAGAATTTAGAGAACCTTCTGAAAACAAATCACCGATATTTGTAGCATTTTGTTGACTTCCCTTAGTTCCCTTCATGATGAATGTATCAATAATGAGGTTCTCTAATGTTGGGAAGAAAATAACACTGATTTAAATAGTCAAGCGTATGCTGATACAATGAGTCATTTCCATAAACAGTTTAATCTATTGTTGTTTCCATTTCTCAAAAGTCGGTACCTAATTCCTTGTTTTAGGTTAATCGGTCCACACTTGCATCCAGCTACTCTATCCAGAGCCAAACAATGCTAAAATATTTGGGCTTCGGCATTTTCTAAAGGACGGAATTATTAGTTGAAGGCCATAACTTTTAATAACATACTGGAATTTGTTTCCTCTACTGTTTCTAACGGCATCCACTAAGAAGCGAGACATATGAGTATGACCATACGTCTAAATCAAACAAGAACAAAAATCTCAACTCATATGTTCAGTTAATTTAGCGATGTCATTGTTAGATGTCAGAACTGTGAAGGGGAAAGGTATTAAAGAATGAAAATTTAACTGTCAATCCCCGAATGATGTAGCTAGTTTTGCCTTTTCTTTATCTTCTGCTAAAATATAAGTCGTTAGATTTTGAATACCTGAACAAAACTTCCAGCGTTATTAGCTTTTGGTGTCCAAGCGTTCTTTTTCCTTGGATCCTGATGTAAACATCAGACAAGGAAGTTCAGCATCGATTGTGTGTGTGTATACAATGTTACAACACTATTGACTGACTTATAGCACTCTTTTTTCTCTACCGAGGACGTAAACTTTTCATGACTCAAAATGGTGTTAGGTACATACCTCAAATAAGACTGTACTTTTTTTTCTTCGTTTTGTGATTGTTCTTCCATTGGAAGTCTCAACTTCATATTCATGGTGGGTTACCTGCCATGCCATAAGGTAAGATGGAGATTTTGAGGATGTGTCAGGACCCGCTAACCAAATATTTATCCTTTTTTCCCCAACCTAACCGCAAATGGAAAAAATAAAGGCCAACAGAATTATTTTACCTTCTTATGATGCTTAGGAATGCTCATTACACTTCCTGTGTTGGTATTTTCTACTTAAACAATTTTGACACTGGTGTTTGTGTTACACCTGCGAATGGTGATTGCTGTAAACAATATAAAAAGACATTTAAGGTGCCTAATATAATATGGTAATTTCATAGAAAATATAGAAAGCAACCACAGTGACATAATTATTATTAAAAATTTAGTTAGAGTCAAAATTATTTATTGCTTTCTGTTAACTTCTGTTCTTCCTCTGGCCTAACAAGAGCATGTTGAGTTCTTTTCTCAAAACCCTTCTTCTTAACTGAAGAAATGGAATAATCCTGCAAGGATCCATCAAATTGATGGCTTTTAGATAATTGTATAACGCCACTTGACATTTTAATAATGCTTACCGAAAGATTCCACATCTGAATCCTACTCCAAGACAAATCATAGAAAGTAACGTTTCTGACCGCAATTAACTTAAAACAAAGAAATAGATCTGTCTACCAAATATGCATGTTTTTGTGTGTTTTAGTATATGTTGCCTTTGTAGAAATAAATATTTCAGCATAAACTCTAAGGTATGGTCCTCACTGTCACATGGTATTTGGTGAGTTCTTTTAGCTTTGTAGAAATATGCACTTATTCTTGCAGCTCCATCTTCTATCGACAACAGCATCAAAGTGAGTTCTCTTTTTACAATGAAGTCGAGGAAACCGGTCATATACGGCAGAGTCAAGTTAAACGATTTACATCAATTCTCACAAGACCATGAAGACGTAGAATATTCAAGCCCTTCAACTCTAAAATTTAATCACCTAATTGGGGCATAAAGAAAGTGAAGATAAGAAAACGGTGCGTGTAAAGCTTTAAGAAAGACATCTTCATCACACGGCCAGTCAACGTGGAGAGGCGACAATGACGACTGACCAAACAGGAGAAGACGACATTGGGGGAATGGGTTTTGGGGAAGATCACGATTTGGGAGGGGTTTTTGAGATTTTACATTGGATCAAATTGATATGATTTTTAAATATTGAAGATTTATTAAATTATTTCGAATTGGGATCGATTTGATAAAAATATATATGTTTTGAAGACTAAAATTGTTATTACATCATGTTATGTCATCATTTTCATTGAGTCAACGATCAAATCTAACAGGTGATAACTAAAATAGAAAAGAAACGAAACTTAATACTAGTTATGATTTTTAAAAAAGTAGTAGAGTGGTCAAAATAAAAATGTAGAAATATATGGATGTCCCACTAGAGAGTTCATCCTTTTATTTATTTATTTAAAATTTTACTGTTTTGAGAATCGGATAAATGTGGGTTTCTTATAAAGGATCCTTTATCCACTTGGATCATACCTATAACCTACTAAATAATAAATCAAAGGAAAAGTGCATAAAGAGGGGGGAAAACAGGGCAACAAAAGCGACTCGGTGTACTCACAGCTTGTACTATAGCTGGTTCGTCGATGGATGCAAAGCCGCTGCCGAATTCCTCCCACCACGTACTGTACTCCCTTCTCCATCACCGTCCCATTTAACTCATCTCCCCTTCATTCCCTAACAGATTAAGTTTTCCCCAAATCACCGGGTGCCGCCATTTCCACCACCGGTTTTAACAATGCCTAAATTCCATGTCCAATTCAAGAACTCCCTTCCCGACTGCCAAGCTCACCTCCCTTTTCCCTCTAAATCTAATTTACCCAGCCCTGGTGGTCTATTCATCGACCCCTGTTTTCCCTCTTCCCTTCTCGATTTCGTTTCCCCCTTTAAAGATTTTTCCTCTTCCAGAAAAATGGCTTGCGTTTCTCGTAGGCAAAAGCCTGGGGCGGTTGACGTTAAGGACGTGTTTTTTTTGTCCGTTAGTTTGAGTAACGATGGGCTTGTTTCGGAACACAAGGAATTTCAACTACAAAATGAACTAAAGAAGAACAACGACGGGGTTGTGGCTGAAACCAAACGGAATTTTAGGGTAACGCAACGTGGCGCAGTCAATACTACAAATCATTTGTGGGCTGGAGCCATCGCAGCCATGGTTTCCAGGTAACATTAACAAACTCCGTTCGTGATTTAGCTACGCGCGTTTTCGTATTTGTCTAGATCCCTATGCATTTCTAATTATTGTTTGAAATGCTATAGAACATTTGTTGCTCCATTAGAGAGATTAAAGCTGGAATATATAGTTCGCGGTGAACAAAGGAATATATTTGAGCTTGTTAAGAAGATTGCTTTGACTCAAGGGTTACTTGGATTTTGGAAAGGGAACTTAATTAATGTTCTTCGCACGGCTCCGTTCAAAGCTTTGAATTTTTATGCTTACGATACGTATAGGAAGCATTTGCTTAGACTGTCTGGAAATGAGGAGACTACAAATTCTGAGAGATTCATTGCCGGTGCTGCAGCTGGCATTACCGCTACTGTTCTCTGCTTACCACTTGATACTGTATGTCGAAACCTAAGCTTTTGTTTTTCTTTTCATTGTTCTATCTTCAATCTGTTATTAGTCGTGTAGGCATGTTAGGTTCTTGGCTGTATGCACTTCTATATTGTACATTTGGGGCAACTATTAGAAATAGCACACGGGCAGTTGTTAATCCTTTGTGTTATTAGAGGATTAACAAAGTTATAAGAGACCGATTTTAAAGTTGTTGTCTAGTCTTATGTCTTAGGAGTATTGTTTCTTTATCATTTCTTATGTCTTAGGAGTATTGTTTCTAGACAAAATGATCAGGATAATTTCCCATTATTGTCATTGCAATGTCATGTCTAACATAATACTTTTTTAACCAACCAAGGTGAAGGATAGTGTCTCCAGGGACATCTTACTTTTTTAATTACTATAATCCTACATGATAGCAAAGTGTTTTTGAGATTTCTACAGAATAACAAAGTTTAATTCTAGCTTGAGAGTTTTAATGCTTAAAGATGTATTAAAAAATGTGTGATACGTACTTAAACTATATTAAAATATGATTTTTTTCATCAATGGAGGATTGCAATTTAGACCTTTCATTGCTTTTGTCAAATTTAGGATCACTGAAACTGGCTGTACTCTGGGAGGTTTGTTTTGTTGACTATTAATAGTTTCATTTTGTTGATGTCTTTTTCTAGATGTGTTCTTCTTTTTCTAGGATGGTAACTGTTTACTACCTGTTTATCATTGTACAGATTCGAACCAAGATAGTGGCTCCAGGTGGAGAAGCCTTAGGCGGTGTAATTGGTGCTTTTCACCACATGATCCAAACTGAGGGATTCTTTTCTCTATACAAAGGTCTAGTGCCCTCTATTGCAAGCATGGCACCTTCAGCTGCAGTATTCTATAGTGTGTATGATATGCTGAAATCAGCTTATCTGCGTTCCCCGGAGGGTAGGAAAAGAATTCAGAACATGAGTCAAACAGGGCAGGAACTGAATGCTTTGGATCAGCTAGAGTTGGGACCAATGAGGACGCTACTATATGGGGCTATTGCTGGTGCTTGTGCCGAAGTTGCTACCTATCCGTTTGAAGTTGTGAGAAGACAGTTGCAATTGCAAGTCCACGCAAGCAAAATGGGTGCACTGGCAACTGGTGTGAGGATAGTTGAGCAAGGAGGAATTTCTGCTCTCTATGCTGGGCTAATTCCCAGCTTGCTACAAGTAAGTGGATAAGCTTTTAATAAAATCTCACAAATCGTTACTCAAAAGCTTTATGCCCATTATCCCTCTATAAATGCGGACATGAATCAAACAATCGATATTAACACTATAACATGAGAGTTCATCTCACAAATTTTTATCTGTGCTGCCCTGAAGTTCTTTGAATTTGATTAGTTTCTACATTATAATATAGTTATAACATTCGATCCACAAATTGTTTAAATGGGATACTCCTCCCCCCCCCCCCCCAAAAAAAAAAAGCTCACACACACAATTTGTGGTTCATATGCTTTCCTCTATAATAAAATATTATTTTTTGTCTTCAGGTCCTACCTTCTGCTTCGATCAGTTATTTTGTATACGAGTTTATGAAAATTGTTCTCAAAGTGGATTGAAGGGAGAAGATGGATCCTCTCAGTAAAAGGACTGGTATGATTTTGTACATTGACCATAAAATGATCAGAGCACAAAGATTCAAAATGGTAACAGTTGTCAAATTATCATTGATGTTCTCCGCATATTTTTGTACCTGACAAGGGACCAATTGAAACCTTCATTGACATGTTAAATTATTTTCTTGATTATAGACCCTGCAACCGGTTACTGATTGAATTTAGAATCTTGATTTTATTTATAAATTTTTCGTAGCAAATTCTCATGATTAAGATCAGGGCCTTGGTAATGCATATAAGCATTTTCTAAGGTCCTTGGGTGCTTAAAATGCATTTAAGCGTTCTATGAAACTTGATGCTTCCAAATCATTCGGAACTCTTGTTAAGGATTAAAATATTTGTCACCATCTTTCAAAAGTTTCTGTCCATTTTCTCACTCCCTCCTTTCATCCGTCCTTCCACTTTTCCACTCAACCAAGTAAAATTTAAAGATATTATCAACATACCAGAATTTGACGTTTATATATTAAATGAATAGATATATCTATTTTTACAATATGTATTATTTTTTATATATACAGTTAAATTAAAATTAAAGTTTTATATGAACAATCGAATCAAAATTTAATGTATATAATTTTACAAAATCAAAGTTCATGTATCATCATAGATCATACACATTTTATCAAAATTCATGAGTAATTTTGAAATTTATTTCCTAAATATATTTATAAGTAAATATAACTTTAAAATCAATATTTTTTTAAATAGCTTTAATTTAAAATAAATACATGTAAACATATAAACACTACTCTACAAACCTCAAGTAAATTCAATTTTGGACGACTGATAATCAATATGTTTGGACTTGGAAGCACCGCAAGAAAATATGTTATATGATACACGTGTCGTGTCAATCAGTGGTCTATTCGATAATCTCAAATGCAGAAAAGTTCCAAAATTCGCTTCTTAATTTCCCACCAACATAATTCATCATTTATTGATCTTTGTTTTCTTCCCAAAAAAAAAAAGCTGTCATTTCCGCCACGCAAAAACCGTAGGTAACCATCATGTCGCCTTTCGGCGACGGAGTCATCAATGGCGGATGCCGCTGCTTGATTCCTTCCGGCGAAGAAGATGGTTTCCACGATGGAGACACTAATTGTGGTTTCTCCGCATCGCACGACGAGACTTGCACGCATTGCGCGTCATCATGTTCTTCCTCTGCTCTTGGTCTTGATTCGAGTCAGTTAACGGATTCCGAAAAGTTGCGAAGACTTTTAGTCGCTTCAGCTAAAGGCTTCTCAATTGGAGCTGGCCTGCAAGGTGGCTTAGCTATCTTCTCGATTATCGCACGCTTGCAGCGCAAGAAATCAAGGTATCTGTTTTGTAGAATTTAAGCATTTTTTTAATCTCTTTAAGAATAACAAAATAGTAATAGTTTTCTGATTTAGGAAAGTTGACTCGTTTTCTGATAAAGAGGCAATTTATATGGCAATTAAGGAGACAATTAGATACGATATTTTTCTTGGAACTTTTGCTGGTACATTTGTTTCCATAGATGAAATCATTGCTACTCGAGGAAGACATCACAGGCAATGCTCTTAACCATAATTTTGCTATCATAAAGTTGAAATCAAAATTGTTATGAACTTGAGTTTCATTTAGTGGAGTGTTAAATTTTGAATTAGGACTGCGAAATGGCGGGCGTTAGTAGCCGGGCTGGTTGCAGGGCCTTCCATGCTTCTTACCGGGTCTAACACGCAACATACAAGTTTGGCCATATACATACTCATGCAAGCTGCTGTATTGGCATCACGTTGTGGAATAAAGAGAAAACGATTTGGGAAGCTTTGTAAACCTCTTACTTGGAAGCATGGTGACATATTCCTTACGTGTCTCTCTGCTTCAGAAATTTTGTAAGTTACTGCTATTAAATTCTCCTGGTTATTTGTGTTGTTTTCTGCCATTTAGTCCTATTGTGAGAGGGTGGAATCAAGATCAAATATTGGGAGTGGTCAAATTTTTCTCAACTTGTTCTCCTAAAAGGATGATAAATGTATTGTTATTACCTGTTTGGGCATAATTTTTCAATTGGTATCATTTGTACTTTCAGGACTTCTTACATCTTGAAGCAAGATAGTTTGCCCCCATCATATAAGTCCTTTCTCAATGAACATGGTGGGAAGGATATTGTCATTCTGCAAGGTGTAAAAGAGCTTGCAAGCAACCTCCCATTCACTACTTTGGAAGCAATAGAGAAACTTCACAAGGCAATAGGGGTGGAAGTTAAATTAGATCCAAACATGAAAATCCCTTGCTCAGTATGATCATTTTTTCTCCTTTTGTTTGTTCTGTCAAGTAGTTTAATACACTTAATCGTTGTTTGAAGTCTTTACAAATCTTGCAAACAGAGCTCATTTGCAATAAATTCACGATTCAATATTTTCTTCCAAAAAAAACATGTTCCCTTTGTGATAAGATCCTTGAAGTAGTTGCATTAATCAATATGGTTGATAACTGAAACATAATAGGTTTTATTGTAGGTATCGTAGAGTTTGTGAATTAAGCATATTGTTTGTTACTTCCGAATTAAGCTCAAATTCTCAAGCTGTATGCAGATGATACACGGGAATAAATCATGCGGAGCACATGCTGTTACTTTTCTTATTGAAGCATATAAAAGGGCATTACCAGTATATCTTCCAGTTTATTTGATTCCTGCTTTGATAGTTCATCGTCAAGGCCTCTTCAAAAGGTAATGCAGTTAGACTTTTTTCTTGTTCTTGATGAATATATTTTCTAAAAATTTGGAGAGATTTTCACTTCAGCTACTTGTTATCGTTATTAGGAAATGAAAGGGAACTTTTTTACTTTAGTCCATTTTTAGCACTTACTATAGTAGGTAAACGGCCTTTTACAATTGGATTGAGCTTTAGCTTGTTAAAGCGGATGTTATAGTTTTTGGTTGAGCTCATAATTTGGGCATCAGGGAAAAACACTAGAGCATTAGCAGACTTATTCCAGTCTTCTGCTTTCTCTCTGTCCTCTCAATCCCCTCCCCACTAGGATTCCATTTCGCCATTATCATCTTGACTTATTCTTTTGAACTTAATGTAGGCCTTACAGGTTATTGGGAAAAAGTATTGTTGATATTGCCAGATCAAGCTTATTTTTATCTACCTATTGCACATCAGCTTGGTTAGTGTTATATTATTTCTACTGCTTCATGCATTCTATTAGTAAAATTGTGTGTTTGTTCTCCATTGATCTGTATTTCCTAATGTTTAACTTCAATTTAGATTTCCCTAGAGATTTTTTTTTTCTTTTTTCCATTAAAATAACTATTAACACAGTGAATACCGCATCATAATTTCCTGCAAATGACTTGTAAAAACAGCGGGAGAAGATCTTCCTGAAATGGTCAGGTGAAGAGAGGTATAGAAACTTTTGCATTTCTGCATCTGATTGTAGTTCTAGCAAAAGGATATAGATTAATTAACAAAACCAATCGCATATAAAAAGCTGGCCTTTGTAATTGAGCTAACCACTAACTTTTTAAACAGGATCTGGACTTGCATGCTGTTTGGGTCCTTCAGAAAATGTAACATACCATTGATAGCAATCGGAACGGTAAAGGACTCTTTTCAACTTATTCTATGTTGTTCCGTTCCCCCCCCCCCCTCCTCCCCCTTCTTTTGAGTATATATATATTCCCAAACATGCGTGAGGATATGACTTGGTTAATATTTTAAATAAAATAAAATAAAAAACTTAAGAAAACATTAAATATAAGGACAGACATAAAATTTTAGGTTAGAAAATATGAAATTATTCATTAATAAAAAAGTACAAAAAAATATTTGAATTATCTGAAATTTATATCCAAGTTTATTGCGTAGTTTCCAACGGGTCTGAGTGTTGCAATTGAGAAGAAAAGCAGGCGGATGGAGATATCACTCTACTGCCTTGCACGAGCCATAGAGAGCTTCTTTACGTGGATGGCTGATGAGGAGTATTTGGCGGGGTCAAAGAATCTGAAGAGACCTGATGTGGTGATTTTTAGCTTATCAACAGCTATCATAATGCATTGTTATGCGCAAGAGAGGGAAGTGTTTCGCTCCAAGTACTTAAACGTTCTTGATTGGATCTTTGGTGTGCCTCCTCAGCCATGCCAAACCCCTCGTTGCAAAAACGTCGGAGCAGTTTGAGATAGGTATTTAAATGGACATTATTATGGTTATTCTATAGTTTTGATAATTTTATAATATCTTTTTTTCAATATTTGCAATCGATATTTATTGATCGAAAATAGAATTCATTATCATAACAAACATTTAGAATTTAAGAGACGTGTTTATTGATTGATAATAAATTTTCCATTTCCATTGACGGAATACTTTAAAATTTGCCATAAACTCCATAGGACTTATAATATGCTGGTTTAGATATATATATATATATATATATATATATATATATATATTGATAAAAATAGAAGAGGAACCTGCCCTAACAACTAAACTTTGTTTCTGTCAAACTTCGCTCCTAGTTCATCATCTTGATTTGCATCATATTTTTTTGCTTTAAATATGTTTAATAAAAATAATTGCATCATGTCATCATGTTTGACTCGGTCCGGCAACATTTACCCACTTTTATATTGTTGACATATTTTTGGAGCTAGTGATTCCCCCTAAAAGAAAAAAGAAAAGGAAAGGAAGAGTACTATACATAAAAAGCAGTAGTGTATAATTTGGTGGATCAGTAACAAAAACCGTGGTTTCCCAGTCATCAGTCCGAGTTGCTCTTCTATGACTCGATATTCGAGATAAACTACGGTAAATATGACAATCTATAAATTATGCTCTTCTCAATCGAGATATTTCCGAAATCCTTTACAAGATCAAGAGACAAAATTAGAGACTAAAAAGACTTTAAACAATCTAAGATACAATAATCTCTCAACATCTCATATGACTGGCAAAGACGTAACTTGCTACGAGCATGAATCCCCACTGAAAACCTTTGAAATTTTGGTCACCAAAATCCGTTTTTCCTTTACAGTATGGGTCATGGAGACAGACTCACAGAGATGTGGTGACCATACAAACACAACATATTGAAATCTGTACTCTTATAAAGAATAACAGATTGCAAGGGATAAAATAAAAGCTCGCCGCCAGCTATTCATAGAATCAGTCAATCAAAAAGCTAACTTAAATTAAGAATCAACTACATTTTTTGCTATTTCCTCAAGCATCCTGAGTTAGGTTACCCGTTAGGGACTCAAAACACTAGTTTTCTAAAATAGGTTTTCAATGTTTTCTCAGGAGACGAGCTTAATCCATAAGCCATCCATCGTCAAGCTTTTTTTTCTGGTAAAAGATACTAATGTTGCAGACTACATGGAGGCAAATTTGACATTAAATATTTCGGAAAAAGATACGAGGAAGAAGAAAGGACAACGGACACTATTCAGGGGAGTTGAGAAAATAATTGAATTAATTCAACTGTGAGAAAATTTTGACCTTACAACAAAATAATAGTAGAATATGTAAAGTAGGATCTGCATATCTTTTGCAGGATATGTCGGCTATTTAAAGGTAAAATTTAGAGAAGGTCCTTGTCGTATATAGTTTAAACAACTTTATTCCTGTTATTATAATTTGATCCTTTCTAATTCCTTCAAGGCTTTAATTTTTAGACCTTTTAAGGCTTTAACTTTTGGATTGTGTACCTTTTTGTATTAATATATACACGTTACATTTTTTACCAGGTCAAATATTATAATTTTCTCTTTATTTTGGTTTTCTTAAAATATGAACAAATTTATTTAATTGTAAAAATAATATCAACAGGTGTCTCATCATTCTATATTTTAAAAATACATCACACCAAATTATTTAATCAAATTACAGTAGAAACTCTTTAAATTAATACTCGATAAATTAATAAACTCTCTAAAATAATAAATTTATCTGGTCCCGACTTGGGCCAATGTAAAAAATTGAAAAACTCGATAAAATAATAAGATAATAATTTTTCGTGAGATCCCTTTATAATTTTCGGTCCCAAGAAAATCATAAATTAATAATTCATAGAAACTGAAAAAAATTTATTACACTCTATTGAAATATGATTCATTAGTTGTCTGTTTTCCTTTAAAGTTTAAGTCTATTTGGAGCTCATTATTAATTTAACTTATCTCTTACAACGTAATTCTAAGAGGTATAGACTAATTTGCCTTTTTGTTTGATATGTATAGTATAATTACTTAAAAACTCTTTAAATTAATAATTATTAATTTATCGATAAATTAATAACTCTCTAAATTAATAAATTTCTCTGGTCCTGACATTATTAATTTATAGAGTTTTAACTGTATAATGGAAAGAATTTGATCTCATGGCTAAAATACACATTTAGAAGGAATTGATTCCATGACTTAAAAGTAAATTATAAATCTTAAACGTGGATCATAAAAGAAAGATTAAAAAATAGAAAATAATCAAATTTGTAATTAGAAACACTAGTGAATTTGATTAGAACACATAATATATGGAAAATTTTGTATACAACTTGACCGTTATTAAGACGGTGAACGCGAGAATTAGGACCCACAAGTTGATGGCAATTGGCAAAGGGCGTCAGCCATTGAGGTTTTAGATGCATTGGGTGGTGAATCAAGCATATCAGTTTGTTTAGCCGACACTTGAAAACCTGGTCTACATTATACTATTACTTTATTTATTCAACTCATACACAGGGCCACCCGACACGGAATCTTGGTTTAAGGATCAAATTTTTGTATTACTTTATTTTTGGGTTATAAAAAGTCTCAACGTTTACTAACTACTTTGATGGAGAGAGAAGAGAAAATAGGAATTTGGGGTAGTTTATGTTTTTCTTCATAATTTTTATAAGAATTTATTTCACACGATTTTTTTTCACAATTAAAGTTTTAATGTTATTATGTCTTATTTAGAGTTTACGAGTTACAATTTTAAAATTTATGGTTTATTATTTATATTCGGAATTTAAAATATATAATTTTAGTTTAAAGATTAAAGAATAGGATTTAGTAGTAACAACTGATTGGTCTAGTGGGATGAGCACTAGGTCCCTTAAGCAATGTCAGGGGTTCGAATTCCGGCGTTTGCAAATGGAGTTAACTGGGTTGGGAAGGTTGTCCTCGCCTCTACAGTACCTGATCTAAATTAGTTGGTCAATAGATCAGATACCAGTGATTAATTAAAAAAAGAGAGAGTAGGATTTAGTGTTTAATGTCCTTGAATAAAATATGTGACAGCATCAAAATCCTATTTATAAAAAAACATCACCATTAGTACAAAATACAATAACACAAATCTTAATATTTTAACTATTCATAATATTTTTAACTTTTAAACCGAAAATAGTTGTGTTTATATACACTCGAATTCATGATCTTACAACAATAATAATAATAATGTTAATTGAAATAAATTTAATAGATAATCCTTTATGTTTTTAATTAAAAGAAGGGAAAATTTATGTTAATTCATTCCTAATTGAAATAATACTTAATAGATAATCTTTTATATTAATTCATTTAAGTTCATTGAAATAATATTTAGTAGATAATCATTTATGTTTCGGAATAAAATAATAGAAAATATTGATCTAGTAAATGCATTTTTTTAAGAATGAACGTATAATGGAAAATGTAGGGTTTACTTATGGAATTTAGTGTTTACTTCGAGTGTAAGGTTTGTGTAGAAAGAAATGAAAAAGGTATGGCCAAATCTGTGTTCACTTTTGGCCGTAGGCAATTCACGTTGACAAGTAATGAAGAAAGAGTTTAGGTTAGAAAGAGCTTAGCTTATGAAATAAGGTATGTTCTCAACCTTGCACAAGTAAGAAACCAATGGATTATTCTAATCTAAAAGCAGTGGAGGAACTTGATGATATAATTTGGGGGTCAAGTTAAAATTTTAAAAAATTTAGGGGTTCAAATTAAAATTTTCAACATTTTTTAAAGGTTCAATTTACCTTTTTTTCAACAAAAAAAAGGTATAACTAAATTTTTTGGAAATTTGAGAGGCTTAATGAGAATTTTTAAAAATTATGGGAGGGTTTAATTAAAAATATTTAAAAATTTACAGCTTAATCTAAATTTTTAAAAAAATTATGGGGACCAAATTAAACTTTCAAAAAAAATTAAGAGACTAAGCTATAATTTTTTAATTTTTTGGGGCTATGACCCTCACATGCCCCTCTTATGTTCCGCCCGTCTAAAATGATCACAACAATAATTAATACTTAACTATTAGTTGATTCAATTTCTTTTAATAATTATTAATTTATATTAATTTTATTGATGATCAATCTAAATCAAATATTATAGATACTTGTTATTATAAATAATAATATTTATTAAATATTAAAAGAATTATTATATATCAATATAAATAAGTAAATAATATTTTTTATTTTTATGATAAATAATATTAATTAACTTATTATTATATTTTGAAAACTAATCTTATTAACTTTTATAATAAGTAATGTTATTTATTTTACTTGATGTTTATAATAAATATTTTCCAAAAGATATTAAACAACAGAAAATAATTTATATAATATTGAAGACACTCAATTTCGTCTTTTGTTATTAATATTATTATATTATTATGTAATATTACAAACCATAGTGTATAATTATATTATTTACATTTTTGACAGGCCCCAAAATCAAATAAAATGGCCCAACAGCGGCCCAAACAAGTTGGCCCGTTCCAAGCCAAACCCTAGTAGTTTCTCTCTCACCAGCGCCGCATCTCCAAGTAACCCAGGTTCCCCACGCTGCACGCCACCAATCCCGATTCTTTCGGCGCAAGGAGAGCACGAAGATCCTTCAATAACAACCCACAACCAATTATCTCGGTTCAACAGCAAACCAATAGCAAATGTTAGTTTTTAACTAGGAATCAAACTCCCAAAAATAGGGTGGCTTGAATATTATAAATAGCATGTAATCCCTAATGTAATGGGGGACACGGTTGATACGAAATACAAGTAGAGATTACACACAAGAAAATCACGAAAAAGCAAACAAACGTTCGAAGTAATTTGTATAGAATCTGAGTGAAATAATAGGTAAATCTTTACCTTGCTTTTGGTTTTCTTGGCTTGCATGACACATTTGTTTGCTCTTGGTTCGAGCGGG